GGGAAAGGCAAGAACGTGGCACAAGGATCTGTAAGGAGTCCTGGATGGCCGAGGCAGAGGGTCCCCTGGGAAGAGTTGCAAAGATGGAGGTTTCAGAGGTAGCTTGAAGTACGATCATTGAGGAGCTTCTCTGCCATAGTTTGGAGTTCAGATTTCATTCTAAGGAGGTCGGGCACCATAGAGAACTTCAAGCAAGGGAGAAGATGGTCAAAATGGCAAAATCACTTTTTTTTTTAGAAAGTTCATTGTAACAGCAAAATAGGGAATGGATTGAAAACTGCAGGCAGGAAGCTGATTCCTTCTTTCTTTCCATCCACCCAGCCACCCCATCCATCCTTCTATCTGTTCACCCAGCAAATATTACCAAATGCTTGGTTCCAAGAATAGGCTCTATCATCAGATAGGCCTGCATGTCAAATCCTCTCTTGCCACTTACCTGTCTGTGTGACTTTGGGCAAATTAACTAAATCTGTCCGTAATTGAGTTTTATCACCTGAAAAGAGGATGAATGATAATCTCCATCAACACTTCATAGGTTGGCTGGGAAATAAAATAAACTAGTGCTTCATCAGTGCTTGGTACCATGCCAGGAACTCATAAACATTCATAAACTTTTAGCTATTTCTGCTAACTTTATTTATTTTAAGAAAGACAGCAGAAGTCGGGGAGGGGCAGAGAGAGAGGGAGAAAGAGAGAGAACCCCAAGCAGGCTCTGCACTGTCATCAGGGAGCCTGGTGTGGGGCTCGAACTCAGGAACTTTGAGATCATGACCTGGGCTGAAATCAAGAGTCGGATGCTTACCCAACTGAGCCACCCAGGCGCCCCAACTTTTAGCTATTTTCATTAACAGGTGGAGGTACCTGTTTGGGAGGTGTCATGATCCTGGGGATTGTTAAAGCCATGGAGATTGTGAAAACCTTCACTAGGTTGATACATAATTCAGCAGGTATCCCCGGAGCACACACTACTTATAAGGTGTCACATGAAACCACGTGGGAGGTGCAGAGGTGGGTGCCCCCAAGAGTGTGTACCAGACAGAATATATTAAATGCTCTAGTCAGTTCATTAGCGGAGATTTTATTTTATTTTTTAAATTTTTTTAATGTTTATTTTTGAGAGAAAGAGAGAGAGAGAGAGAGAGAGAGAGCAAGAGAGAGCGCACATGAGCAGGGGAGGGGCAAAGAGAGAGGAAGACCCAGAAACCGAAGCAGGCTTCAGGCTCTGAGCTGTCAGCACAGAGCCTGGCGCGGGGCTTGAACTCACGAACCATGAGATCATGACCTGAACTGAAGTTGGACGCTTAACCGACTGAGCCATCCAGGTGTCTCAGTGGTGGAGATTTTAAGAAGATTTGTGGGGAAGGTTGAGGTTTGAGATGGCTCTTAAAAACTGAATAGGACTCCAGTAGGTAGATTATAGATAAAGGCCGGGAAGAGCCCTTCACGTACAAGTAGTGGTAGGTATGGAAGCCTGGAGACAGGAGGAAGCGAGTGCGTATTAACACCAGTGGAAGATACATGGGACTAAGATACGGAAACCCTCAAAGACTGTATAAGGAGAGATAAAGTATTGGAATACAGGCAAGTGTCAACATCATTTTCAGTAGAGAACTTTGACTTCCATTCTGAGGATTTGAGACTTTAAGGCTCCCCCGTGGGGGGGGGGGGTGGCGGGCAGAAAGATAGTATCAGGCTTGTACTTAGAAAGATTGATGACAAGGGCACCTGGGTGACTCAGTTAGTTAAGTGTCCGACTTTGGCTCAGGTCATGATCTCCCTTGTTGGGCTCTGTGCTGACAGCTTGAACCTGGAGCCTGCTTCAGATTCTGTCTCTCCCTCTCTTTCTGCCCTTGCCCTGCTTGCACTCTGTCCCTGTCTCTTTTTCTCAAAAATAAATAATTTTAATTAATTAATTAATTAATTTTTAAAAATAGATCGAATGACAGAGATGGGAATGAGTACGAGACAGGGAAAGGAGATGAAAGAGACCACTTAAACGACTAGTGGAACCATCTAGGCAAGAGACCCTGGGTGGGGGAGGGGAGGGAAGGAAGGATGGGTTAAGAAGCTTTCCGCAGATAGAATCGATGTGAGCCGGTGACTCACTTTTTGCGGAGTGACACAGAAGACCTGGATTTGCAGGCTGGGAGATGAGGAATGGTAATGCCGCTGACGAGGGGTGGTAGTGGGAGGAGTTTCGGGAGGAAGGATGGTGAGCTCGGTTCTCAGTCTGAACTGAGACCTCTCTTTGGAGGGGTTGTCCACTCGGCCGCAGACTGTTGAGCTGAAGGGAGCAAGTGCGATCGGAGCCAGAAACAGACGGGGGAGTGAGTCTTCTGCTGCAAGGTACAGTTGAAGTTATGCAGGAGATGGTCCGGGCCGTGGGGAAGGACCAGACTTCAGGCGGAGTCAGCAAGAGAGAAACCAGCGTCTGAGGCCAGAAGAGGAATAGAAAGAGTTGTGTGGCATCACGGAGCGGAGAAGAGCGCTTCAGGAACAACACGGATCATCAGTGGCCTTCAAAGCACAGAGGCTAACACGACAAATGACAGGATAAGCTTACGGATGTGTGGAAAGTAGGAATTTAGGTATCCATTGGGTGGCACGTGTCAGTCAGGTCAGCTGATATGGGGCCACTCAGTGGTTGAGGGAATCTCATGGGCATTTTGATCACTGAGTGGGAGATTCATGTGGTTTTGGGTAGTTGGAGTGAGTTTCCTCCAGGTTAGAATTTTGTGCCCAGCCCTTGCTGAATGAAGCCCTCCTCAACAGCCTGTTACCAGTGGGGATGGAGAGTTTGGAGATGGATAAGGAGACCTCCTTTCCATTCTCGCACCTGGACTCGCCATGTGTCAAGATGTCCCTGATTGAAGGGAAAGACAGGAACCGAGCTGTCGTGACTGAGATGGACGTGTGCTAGGCATCGTCCACACTCTGGTATGTCTGTGAGCAAATTAGTTGAGGTTAGGGGTGGAGTTCCTGACCGTTCTTCCAGCAAAGTAATCCTAGAAGACAGTTTACTCCTTGGAGTACTTGGCTGTGGGTTGAAGTTGGCCTGAGTGAGAGGCAGCTACCCCAGAACGATGAGCACCCGAGTTTACCCTTCAGGAGCTTTCAGAGGCTTCCCCCCAGAGACCATATCCCGAGAATCTCCTAACCACCATTTCAAGACTCTGCTTTTCCAAGTGAAGAAAAGGAACATGGTTTCCCCTCTCCCCCAGGTGCGGTAGAGACCATGTGGGGGGGGGGGGGAGCGGTGGTCAGAGGATAAAATGGCAGAGTGAGAACTTGAAGAAATACTTCTTCTTTTTTTAATTTATCTTAGAGAGAATGAGAGAGGGAGAGGGGCAGAGGGAAAAAGAGAGAATCTTAAGCAGGCTCCACACTGAGCCTGCAGCCTGATGTGGGGCTTGAGCCCACGACCCTGGGATCAGGACCTGAGCCAAAATCAAGAGTCAGACGCTCAACCGACTGAGCCATCCAGGTGCTCCAAGAGCTTCTTTTTCAAAATCACAGTTATCATTAGTTTTGTAAGCAATATCTGTCTGAATTCTGTTTTAGGGGGAAGCAAAACACTGGGTCTTAACGTGTCTCCATACGTCCTCTGGTCACATTTGTCGTCCTTTTCTCTGTCTGGCCTCCTTTTTTTCTTCTCTCCATCAGTTTCCTTCAAAAGTTAGAGCATTGCACTCACCCCCTCCTTCCCCACTTGCTGGTTTGGGCTTTGGGCTTCCTTCCTTCTCTGCTGAGGATCCCCAGGTGCAAGGTTCTGCTGAGAGGGGCATGGTTTTCATTGCAAATGGGTCCGATGGGGCATCTGAGGTCACAGCTGGATCTTCATGCAAATGACAGTGTTCCCTACCCTGCGTGCCACTCACTTAGGGAAGGCTGGGATGGAGGGGCCCTCACAGCCTCAGATCTGGGCTGTCCCTGAAGCCTGACCCTGCTCTCTGACCGGAGTGGGTGAGGGGGCCCTCGGCTTCTCATCCCCCTACCCTTGTGCTTCTTTCTTTGCCTTTGCAGTTTCGTCCATGCTTCCCTTCCCATTCCCCCTGTCTCTTTCCCACTTAACCATGTCCTTTTCCATGTTTGTCCTTCCATTCTCTCAGGGCAAAGCAAACACTTGTTAGAACTTAACTTCATTTCCCCTCCCCTCGTTCTTTACGCCTATCCTGTTCCATCAAGAGCACAAACTAAGTGTCCAATAGTAAATAATTACAGCCTGTAAGCCTTGGCGTGGGTGGATTTGGTACTGTGGGATGTATACGGTGCCTGTTGGAGACGAATTTGGGTGGAGGGGACTATGGAATGTGAGAACTTCTGCTGTGTTCATCTTTCCCCTGGGCAGGGAAAGCAGAGAGTCACATGGCTTACAAGGAAATACTGTGCTGTGCCTGAGTGGCAAGTCAGAAGACCTTAAAAATAGGGATTATGGCACTTGCCGTTAGGAATGCCTTAAGAAATAATGCCTTAGTGAAATAATATGCATGTGACTGCTTTGAAAGTAGGATTATTCTTAACTATTTTTATGGGCACATATCTGCAAAAGAAAATGTCGGAACTAGTTATGCAGTGTGCATAAAAGGAGCTCGTGCTATTGGATGATCTGTAATGAGCCTTTCAGCTCTCAAATTCTGTTTTCCCTAGACAGTTCTTGGCATGTAATAGGGGCTCGAACGATATTTGGATGGATGGACAGACAGATGGTCGGATGGATGGATGAATATCTAAATGTCTAACTGCCCTACTTGCCCCTTCTATGTCATTTCACATTGCTTCCATTTCACATCAGCACCACCGCCCCCTCCTGGCCAGCAGCAGTATTACGGTGCAGTGAGTTCATAGCTGGGCCCTTTTCTCCCTGTTTCTCCCCAGCCCCTGACCCTGGCTCCCTGAGCTGGCTCCTTGGGACCCGTCTTTGGCCTTCAATCACTGACTGCCTGTCTTTCCTCCTCCTCCCCCCTTTCCACCCCACTCCCTCTCTCCATCTGCCCCTGCAGCACTGCCAGTAACTCAAACCGCAGCACGCCGGCCTGCTCCCCCATCCTCCGGAAACGGTCTCGCTCGCCAACCCCGCAGAGCCCGGACGGAGACACCATGGTGGAGAAGGGCTCAGACCACTCCTCGGACAAGTCCCCGTCCACGCCGGAGCAGGGCGTCCAGCGCAGCTGCTCCTCGCAGTCCGGCCGGAGTGGCGGCAAAAATTCCAAGGTGAGTCGGGCGCTGCCGGGACTCTGTACTTGCTCGTCAGCTGGCTGCGGGGAAGCCAGTGTTGGGGGTCAGTGAGGTAGACAACCCCTTCCTCGAGGGCCCTTGTGTCCGTGAGGCGAGGGTAGGACAGGCGGGGGAGACCCTAGTTTATCTTCTCAGTGGAGCACTCAGAGTGCCCCAAGCACTAGTTAAATGGTTCCACGGTGACTGTTGTCTCCCTTTGGGGTAGGGAGCCTCACGTGCCTTGAGATTTGGAGAAAGGGTGCTCTGGGGACCAGGAGGGGGTCATCCGTTTAGTTCTGCTTCCTTTTTTCAAATTCGGGGTAGAGGGGAGCATTATCTGGGAGGAGCACAGTGCCGGGAAGAGAGAGTCCTCAGGGAAGAGAGGGGTTTTTAACCTCCGCCCTGGCTATCACTCTGCCTCACCTTTGGTAATAACCCACTTGGTACTCATTTGGCCAGGAGGATGGTGACAGGGCCTCTCCATCCCCTGCAAGTGTCAGTGCCACCTGCCGAGGGCCTGGGCCTTTGCCTAAGGAAAGGCATAAAGTGAGCCCCAGGGGGGCCCGGACTACTTATGGGTCCCCAGAGATTTTCTTGTCCCCTCCTCAGTCCTTTGGGAAGCAGGAGGTGGTCTTTGCCTAGATGCTCCTTCAGAAAGCTTCTCTTTACTGCTGGACTCCTAGGCCCCGGGGAGGGGAAGGGGCCCCTGGGAGGCACGGGAGCTGGCTTCCCACCTGATTTGTCTTTTGATTTTCTTGTTCTTCCTCTTCTTCCCCACCATTTCCCAAATACCTCCTTTGCATGCATGGTCTTAGTCTCACAAGCGCCTCTCAAAAGTAAGCCATCTTTTGTCTCTGTCTTTGGTCTCCCCTCCGGTGTTGAATTGTCTGTAGCGCTCCGCACCCCTCCCTCTGCCCCCGCCCACTCTGGCCCATGTCTTGCTTGGTCCCTTTCCCAGAAGGGCCGGCCCCACTGCCCCCTGGCAGGCTGGCTTGAAGTTACAGAGGGACCATTCCTATTGCACCCAAAGTCGGAGAACAGACCCGTCCCCCATCTTCCCCTGTCTCTGCCTGCTCCCCAAATACCGCCTTGGGTTGGGAATCTGTTCCCTCCTTACATGGAGCCATCTAGAAGCAGAGTCCTGCCGGGGCTTAGTTTCATTGCTCTGGGGGAAGGGAAGCCCCATCCAGCTGGGCTTTGGGTCCTGATATACCCGCTTACACCTGCTTTAGTGGGTGAGACCAGAGTCCCCGGACGAGATGATTGAGGGTCACAGATTCCCATAGGTGAGTTCCCCGGTGTGGGAAAGTGACCTCAGGAGCTCTACCTGGCACCTTCTTCCCTCTGCCTGCCCACTGACAGCTGCTCAGCCTGGGCATCCCTCACGGCTTCCACCCACTGCCCAGCCCGGGGGCTTGTGGTATTCTTGGGATCCTGAAGTGTGATCAGATCGGAGCTATTCTTCCAGAAGGGCGTGGTACCAGGATCTGGAGGTCGATGGACATCGATAGTAGCCCCTGCCAGGCCCTGTAGAAACGCGACGAGGTCAGGGGGCAGTTCCAGAGTCTGCCCTGGCCCCCAGGATCTCAGAGGTCCGAAGAGAACTTGGAGGGAGTCCAGCGTGAGCAGTAGGTATTTTAGAACGGCAGGGCTCAGGAAATAACCCCCACAGGGGAAAAGGAGGTGGGATGTCGCCTGGAGAAGAAAAAGAGAGGGATGACTTAATAATAGTCTTGAGCCTCTGTAAGTGTCTTGGGGAGGAGGAGGGCGAACAGCTGTTCTCATTCCTGAGGGAAGAGCAAGAGACAACGGGGCTGAGCCCAGAGTCTGTGACCCTTCAGGCTCAAAGCACATCTTGGCTCTGAAGGCTTCACGTGGTGGTTGCCCGCTGTGGGCAGGGAAGGAGGAATTCTACCTGTGGGGAGTGAGGAGTGCTCCGTGGGGTCAGCACCCGCTCCCAGCCCCTCACAGCTCTGGCTGGCGAGAGGACACGTGTCGCTAGACCCAGGCATCGGGTTATGCTGTCTCTCTGGCTGTGTCTGAGCCGAAGCTGCGGGCTTCGTCTCCTCTCACCCCTATGCCAGCAGGGCGCTCGGTGAGCACGTTACTGATGGCTGTCAGCCACCACCCACAGAGGAGCCTCTTTTAGTCGGGTGCTGGGTTGAGGCGAGTAGTCCGTAAGGAGGATTTTTTAAAAATCTCCTAAGTGGTAGGTCTTCCTCGGGAAATGAGTAACGGGCCCGTGCCTGCCCCCCGGCAGCCTACAGGCTAGGAAGGGAAATAAGAAACCTTAAGAAACGTGCCTAGATTGTCCGGAAGCCAGACCCGACTCGTAGAGGCTCGTGTGTAGTTGGGGATGTTACACGTCAGAGGCTGGAGGACTCATAAATGAGTGGGGTGACGGGCGTGTTTCATGGAACTGGTCTGCTGAGCCAGGCTGGGACTCTGAGAGTCAGAATGAGGCGTTGTGAAGGGACCAAGAGTTGAATTCAAAGTTAGCCTTGGTCCCCCTCTCATGAGCTGAAGAGGGAGGGAGGTGCTGGGAAAGGGGGGGGTGTCTAGGTTTTCTTTCCCTTTGATGGGCTTCGGTGAGGCAGACACATAGTCCTCGAGTCCCTGGTTTGGGTGGATGCCTCCCCTCGGCCCCATTCTCCCACCAGTCACAGCTGTCACCACTGCCACCACCATCCTCCAAACGCCATTAGAACAGGACTGACTTGTGGGTGACGGGGGTGCCTTGCCAGCTCAGCGGGAAATGGTGGCAGCTGAGGTCGGTCTGGGAAACCAGTGTGTGTGAGGGACACACAGACTTCAGGAATTAGGTGCTACACAGGTCAGGGGCCTGGAGCGGAAAGCGAGGGAGAGCTGCAGAGGTGAGGTGAGGAGAGGTGGAGAGCGTGCTCCTGTGGTTAGGATACCCCCTCCCCCGGTTGGAACGTGGTCTCAGGTTGACCAGACGTATCCGTGGCAAAGGGCTCTGGTCGCCAGAGCTATTGTTGCTATTATGGCCACCAGGCCACCTCACCCCGTCTCCCATCCACCTCCTGGAGGAGATGACCTCGTATATTTTCCAGGCCGCCTGGAAAGTACTTCCACTTCTCCCTGGAGCCAGGCATGGGCGGTGTCTGCCTTGCCTTCTCAGGGCCTCCATTTCCTCGTATTAATATGGAGGGGTCAGACCAGGTGATCCGTAAGGCCCCTCTCCTGTGAGTGTGTAACTGTACTGCTGAGGCTGACCCTTCTGGGTGCAGCCCCGCCCAGAGCAGCGAGCTAGAAGATGTCAAGGCGGCCTTTCCTTCCTCTTCCCCAGACCCCTGGAGTTTGTGCAGCCACCCAGCTTCTGCTCTGTAGTACTGGCTTGCGGCCACTAAGGGGAGCCAGCGGCCGTTCCCCCGCTCCCGCCAGCTCCTGCTCTAGGACAGCCGCTGCGATGACCCCAGTAGGGGAGTCCTCCTGCGTTGGGTGTGCTCTGTCACCCGGCCCGTGGCTTCGCTGCAGCTTTTCCCCTTGACCTTTCTCCTTGTTTTCCAACCCTAATTTTTGTGGTTTTTTCTTTCCAGTATGACAGACTTAACCTGATCAAAGTAAGAAGTCTCTTTTATTTCGTACCCCCTATAAGTAGAGCTCCTCTCTTCCCCTCCTCTGGCCCCCCAGCCCCCACCTTCCCGACCCCAGGAGCCTTTGCACTGGGGAGATGTCTCTAGGGAAGGTGGGTCTGTTTCCAGAGGCCTCGTGTTCCTTTAGTGCTTGTTCTTTAGACCCCTTCTAGGAGGCAGTGGAACCGTCCTCTGCTCAGTTCCCTGTCCTGGGCAGCTCTGAGTACTTTTCCTGACTCCCCCCCTCCCCTTTTAGCCGAATCCATTCATAACCTGTCAGAGAAGCCTTGACCCCCACCCCCCTAGTTCTGTTTTTTCCATGCCTCTGGCCCTCTCTGCGAAGGAGGGGCATTTTAGAGAAGCGGCAATAGCAGACACCCTAACTTGTGTCCCTGGACGCCTCTGCTCTCTCCCTCCTCCCTTCCCAGGTCCGCGGCCCCTCTGGTTTCCCTGCCCCCATGAGCTGGGGACTCAGCCCTGGGAGAGTGAAGCCAGAGGATGAAATTTGCCTCCAGGAGGCTGGTCAGAGTTGAGGGACTCGTGCCCGCAGTGGGTATTCCTAGGAGCTACTATGGGTTTGACAGGGGGATGGGGTGGGGGGCGTTTTTCTTAGCGGTGACAGATGAGAAGCTGCCTGGAGATGGCTGATGAGGGTAGAGTGTCATGCTGAGGGACGGGACAGAAGCCCTCGCTCTGGCTGGTTCATTTCACACATTTCAGTACTTGGGAACACAGATTGTTATCCCCTCCCCCCTTTATGAACGAGCAAGTATTACACAAAAGTATCACACAGAAATGGGACACCGGTTCCCTGGTTGAGGCTCTTTGTCACTCTGAACGGATTCCAAAGGGACATCTGTCTGTGTGGCAGTACAGGAATACCTAAGGCAGGAGTGGGAACAGCACGTAAGAGTAATCATGAAGGATCTTGGGTCCCCCGCACCCAGCCCGATTTCATTCCTGCTGTCCCCTTTTCTCCCAGGGTCTAACACGAAGGCCAGGACAGGGGGGTGAGAAGCTAGGGGGCGGGTGACGGAGAGTTCTCTCAGCTGTGAAGCAGGTATCTGAGGGCCCGGCTTCGGTTTGGTGAAATGCCATGCCCTGTGATCTCAGAGACAGGACCCAGGAATGAAGACCTCACAAGGTACAAGTAAGGTCAGACACAGCCTCTTTGCCCCGTTCACTCGCCTCCAGAAATGGGTGGCTCTCGCCAAATGTTTACAGGCTCATGTTCAGATCGAGGTCCAGGATTCCCATGGGGCAACAGCTCCCTCAACAGTGCAATAGTTGGTTTTAAATATTCAGATTTGGCCCCTTTACCTGCTAAGACCTCTGGAATAGAGGAGAAGGTAAGGCCGTGGTTCGAGTGTGTGGCTTCCAGATGGGCCATAGTGATAGCCTTTGTTGGGAAATGACTACAGAGAGCATCTAGAGAGTTCTGGTGGAACGGGGGAGCTGGTGAGGAGGGGGCTGGTGGTCACATGACCACCCTCCTCCCAGCCAGACCTGCTCCCGGTGGACATTCTGAGACAGTGGCTGCCTTTTCCTCCCCTTATGAGTCGGGGCCCCTTCAACGAGGTGGGAGGGCAAAAGTTGCCACTTGTGCCCAGAATCCACACCTGTGTGTACAGTTGTTGACCAGCAGTTTCCCTGATGCAGTGATTCTTGGCTGGAATGACACCCTTGACAAGTTTTTTACAACCTGAAATACCCCATCCCCAATCTAAAACCATTGGATCAGCACCTCGCGGTTTTGGGGCCCAGGCAGGTATGCGTGCGTGTTCCTGTCCACCTGTCTAGCTTTCAGGTGGGATTAGAGACTGGAGGTAGACAAAGCACAAAGTTAGCCATCCCTCTTGCTCTAAAGAACTTTCGGTTGCCATGAAAACGAGTAACCTTTGCCCAGGGCAGGAAATGAACCAGCTCCTGAAGTCTGGAGCTGGGACGGAGTCTTGATTTTGTTGGGAACCGAGTTACAGCAGCACAGAGTGGGGAGGGACAACCAGCAATCATGTGCTTCAACTCTCCTCTCAGCGCAGAACCTCCCCAGGACCCCTTTGCCACCTGGGTCATCAGCCAGCTATTGAGCAGAAGGAGGAATTCACGCCTCTGCTCGCCGAGAGCGTAGTTGGAGGAAGTTTCCAGGCAGCCCCTTTTCTTCCTTTACCCGAAAGTCCCATCTTGCCTTCTGCAGAGGGGCTGACTTGGAGCGGAAGGCTGGGTTGGTCTCTCTCTGCACTTTGCTTCTGGTCAGGGCCCATTTGGGGACTGGGTCTCGGATGCCTGCAGCGTACCCCTCACCCCCATCAGAAAAACCTCATGATGGGGCTCCGACTCCCTTCCAGCTGAGCTCTGGCTGGTGCTGCCGCTGCCTGCCGCCCCGACCTCGGTGAGGTTTCCAGCATGGACTGCTCCCTGGGCCTCCTTTCTGGAGCTGTCTTGAGAAAGGAGGACCCCTCTCGAGCAGCCACATGGGAAGCATCCGGCTGCATTTGGATTCCTCCTCCCTGCCCGCCCTCTGCTGTCTGTGTAACCTTCCCTCTGGAGCCAGGAATACCCTGGCCATTCCCACCATCTCTTCCCAGACTAATTGTACTTTCTCTTATTTTGTCCTTTCAGAAAAGCCAGAGTTGGTATAACGTAAGTATCCCTGTTTCTCTTCTCGTCCGGGCACGTGGGAAGCGGGTGGTGGATGGAGGTGGTTGGGGAACGGAGAGGTGGCGAGGAGAGGTTTGGCCGCCCCGTGGGCTTGAGCAAGCTCAGGGGCCCCTGGCCAGCCCCCTCCCTGAAACACCAGATAGACTGTTTTTCCTGTGCAGGAGGACAGGACTGCTGGTGCGGGAGGATTTGATTCAGAGAGACCTGGGAAGGATGGCCCTCCCCTAGACTCCTGGACGGGGCTCTTCCAGCCCCAGTGGAGGGACCCAGCTGGGGGAGGCATCCAGAGACCAGACAGAATTCTGGGACTCGGACAGCCCCGGGGCCTGAACTCAGGGGCAAGGTTTCCTTCCTTCAGCCAAGACCTTTTGGGGGCAGTGCAGCCAGAAAACTTTCCCCCGTTAAGTAGAGAGGCTGTCCCGTCTAGGAGAATTTGACTTCTGCCTCAAGGCACACCTCAGTAGTCCCGAGGGGCATCTTCCTTCTAGAAGACGCCCGCTGCTCCTGGGTCTGTGATGGAGGCGTAGCCTGATGTCGTCCACGGCGGTGGCTCAGCCAGCTGCTGCAGACCCAGAAACTGTTTTGTGGGGTAAACAGTCCCTTCCGAGACCCCAACCCCCATCGCATAGACTGGGCTGCAGCAGTTTGAACTTTTTCCCCTGGAGAGCAGCCGGTTGGAGTCTCTCAGCTGGCCCCTGCCACCAAATTGTACTCTGCCCTCTGGAACTGCATAGTGGAGAGCCTGGCCTCGGGTCAGCTGTCTTTCCTGCTCCGAGTCTGCTGTTCCCCACACTCGAGTCTGATTGATCATGCAGGTACCACCTTCCCCAGCATCGGGCCGGGCCTCAGCAGGCTTCAGGGGGCGGGCAGCAAGTGTGGGAGAAGGTGGCTGTGAGTGACAGAACTTGTGGACACGGGGGTGGGGTGAGAGCAGAGAGGCTTGGGTTTCACGTAGGGACTTGGGTCGGGATCGCTTGTTGTGTACGTGCGGGCTGTGTTCCCACAGGGCTCAGTGATTCCCCCAGGTCAGGTACCTCTTGCTGCTCCGTGGGGAGCTGTGCCCCTCTAGCCTGGCACAGACAAGGCAGAGGTTGGGGGGCCTCGCTGACTGAGGCGGCCTGTGTCAGGGAAAAGCCAGCCCGTCCCCTCTCATTCCCAAGCCCTTCCCTGTGGACCCACCCCGGCGCTGCTTAGAGCTCACCTCCTGGAGGAGAGAGACGCTGCTTCTGTGAGGGAGGAGGGTGGGGGCCGCTTTCCTGCGAGCTGTGCAGGGGCTCCGGCGCCCCTTGCCTGACGAAACCTCCGCCCCAAAAAGTCGCATCCCCGAAAGGAACGGGAAGCGGGTGGCTGCAGACGTGCCAGACCATCGAAACTTCCGAATCTGGACATGCAAGTCCCCGTCTTGGTTGCCGGCCCCCACCCTCGCCTCTTCTCTCTCTGTCCCTCTCGCTCTCTTTCAGTCAGGCTTCTCTGTTCCACCTCACTTTTCCTCGCCTTGGCTCTTCCATCTGGCTCCTCCTCCCTCTCCCCTCGGACTCTCATTCTCTGGCCGGCTCTCCCTTCCTGTCTGCCACCGGCAGGTTCCCCACACTCTCCCCTCGGCACCTCCCCCTGGCCCCGCACGTCACTGCTGGCGGCTGAGGGAAGGACGGAAGCGGACGCTGCCTCTCGCAGGCCGGCTGGAAAGGCCAGCCACCACGTGAGGCCCAGAACTCAGGCGTTCCGGCGACAGATAAGTGGGAGATGGTAGAGGAGCCGGGCCGCCAGAGCCCTGCTTCCTGACCGATGCCCTGCGGCTGGAGACCCTCGCTGACCGCACGTTTCCCTCTGAAACGGGCCTCCACTCCATCTCGTCTCCCGGGCCTTCCTGGGACTCACAGATGGCCCGTGTCTCCTCCGGCCTCCACCCCTCACCCCGCATGAATCCCAGAAACATCATCTATCGACTCTCCCCTTGGCACGAGTCATCAGCTCACAGAGGCCAAGTGCACAGGGGGACTCTTTGCGGAGCAGCATTTAGCGTTCCTCCTGATGACCGCTCTCCTGGGCGCGTGCTTCCACTCTGGGGCTTCTTCCAGACCCCACGAGGCCCCTCCACAAATGTTTTCCTGTGGCTCCCCTTTCCTCTTCCCCCTGATCCAGCATTGCCAGACAGATGCGGTTCCTTGTCTGCCTTCCTCCCCGGCTTCCTCTGTGGAGGTCTGACACGGGGCAGGGACAGGCCACAGAATGGGATGATGTGTCAGAAGGACAGAGAAGGGCTAGGTGGACGCTGGGAGGACGAGGCAGAGCCGAGCAAAGGTTTGGACGCGGAGAGGTGACGAGGGACCTCCAGCCGGCCCGAGCCAGAGGTGTGGGGAGCTGTATCTAGGTGACCTTTCCACTTTGCCTCCGTGTGTTTTTACATCAGGAGGGAGATCAGTGGCTAGCATAGTGGGTAGAGCCCTGGAAAGGCTGGCTTCAGATAACCTGGGGTGAAAACCCTGCTTTCCTTCTGAGGCCGAGGCTGGTGCCTGGCCCACTTCTGGGTGTCTGTGGGGGAAGCCGGATGCTGCCTGTTCCACACAGCAGGTGTCGTGGCCGGGCCCCCCTCCCCCCACCCCGTCTCTGCCCGCTCCGATGGTACCAGTGTGCTCATTATCTGTAGCACGGACTTGAGCGTGACCGTTCCCCGAGTCACCGTTGCCCTGCCTCCATCAGGAAGAAGGCACCACCTGGGTGTTTCCCCAGAGCCACCTGGATCGATGCACACGGGTGTGGGGTGCCCTCATACCCCCAGTGCCTGCGTCCTTGGGTGGCTGGACACCCCCCTGCTGTGCGCCACGCATGTGCCTGTGCTCTCGCGTGCAGAGGCCCCATCAGGAAACTTCAGTTCAAACCGCTCCCCTCCTCTGCACTGCCCCCTGATAGTCCATTCATGGTTTTCCAGAAGACACCTACTGTGTTGCCCCATCCCCCCTGCTTATCTCTACTGACAACCCTCTTTGTAATCTGTCCCCTGACACTCGTGGTGGTGGCTGATGTGCCATCATTGACGGGATGGGCAAAGGCTCTGTAATCCCAGCTCTGGGGACAGTCACAAGAGTCCTGGTCAGATTCAGGAGTGGGGGGGGGGGGGGGCGGTCATCGCAGAGGTGCTGACCACCGAGAGAACATCTCAGGTTGTCGGAGTAGCTTGGGTGTGCTGATCCCCGCCCACTCCCAGCTCCCTCCCTTCCGCATTTTACTGTCTCGCCAGGGAAGACCTGTCAGCATGATGGCAGACCAACCGGGCCTAAAGAGTGGGCCCATGGCAAGAGGTGGCTAGGCCCTGAGACACGTGGAAAGGCTGAGGTGTGAGGGCTTCTGGTCTCTAGCCAGGGATATGACATGAAGGTCAAGAGTGGGATATGAAGGCAGTGCAATCCACAACTGCCCTAAGGCCCTCCCAGGCCTGTTTATATCTACGCTTTTTCCCCTCAACCCTTCCCCCTCTACTTACTTGACCAGACCAGCTTTGTTCACCAAGGCCCCCAGCCTGGGAGGCACAGCCCCTGGCAGACCTGAACCAGAGGGATGAGCAGAAACAGGGCTTTAGTTTCTGGAGGGAGCCAAGGGCAGAGTTGGGGGTGGAAGGGGTGTGGTCTGCCCCCCAAAAGATGGCACCTGCTGGGTACAGTCGGCTCGCATCTTGGAGGAAGCAGTCACAGCTCTCCTGTCTGGTGCCTCGCGTGGGCACAGGTACCGTCCTCTTCTGCGTCACCCCTTTCGTGGGGGTCAGTCGTCATGACAACCCAGGGAAGGAGCTTGTCTGAGGTCAGAGGTCAGGAGCCTAGACCCTGGTGGCTGGGAGAGACTCCGTGCCCAAGTTGCCCCATGCCCCTGGTCGGGGATGCTGGCTTTTTGGTGGCGAGGAAAGCGATTGCGCCGATCCTACAGAATGACTGACCAAGGAGGCCTGGCAGGCACGAGATTGAGAGCAAGAGAACAAAGCTCTGTGGGCATGAAACCGGGGACGTTAGGGGGACAGTGTAGAAAATGGAGGGTCTGAGAGACGACCTGCTGACAGCCTCGGCAGCCTGTTCTTTCCAGGTGGGGCCACCTGTCCTTCCTTCAGCTCTGCCCGTCTGTCCGTACCTGTTTACCCATGGTCTCCAAGAGTCTTCCTGACCTCTGCTCCCGACCCCCACCCTTCACCTTCTCTAGAATGGTCCCGTCTCTCCTGATGAGAACCCCTCCCAGTCCTACCCCCTCCTTGACTTTCTGCACGATGCCGTCCTGCCCCCATCTCTCTCCTCTCTGTTCATTGCCTCCCCCTGTCTCCTACATCTGGTTTCTCCCTACCTGCACTTGGCTGAAGGGCCGGGATTTCCTTTGAGGGTCTTAATTGAATTCTTCCCAGGTGAGGCCAGGACTCCTCCAAAATCCATCTGTTTTTTTTCCTGGGCTCCTCCACCCCTTCCCTCCCCGTGTCATACCCAGGGAGGGGGTACCACTTGGTCCCAGCTCCCAGTGTTTGCCATAGAGTTAATGTTTAGCTCGGGGTCATTTCCCTTGTCTCAGGCCCAAGCTGCCTGACGTCCTGCCTTGCCCAGCCCAGCCCATTGTCGGGGGTGTAGGAGACAAAGGCTGAGCGCTGAGACTTGTCTCCTAAGAGTTATCTCTCTGGGTGTATCCTGCCTATGCCTCACCCGACCGACCGAGGTCATCCCTTTGTTTGGCCTGCAGCCATAAACAAACGTTTCTGGGCAATTACTGTAAGGATGCAGCTTTCGTGGGTGTAGGTACTGCCTAGATCTTGGGGTCTGGTATGGCCCAGGAGAGAGGCATTCTGGTCACCCTGCAAAATGGAACTACTCGGTTCTCCTGCTACACCGCAGAGGGTAGGGCTGACACACACAGGCCAGAGAGAAGCTCGGGTGTATGGTTTGAAGAGCGTAGACAGGGACTGGGCACCAGGAAGCCATGCACGTATTACTGGGTCTGTGTGGCTGTGCACACAG